TGTCAAGGAGGAAGAAGTCATGGCTGAGCCTGTCAAGGAGGAAGAAGGTGGTGGAAAGCGGACGTTGAAGGAAAAAAAAGTGAAGAAGAAGAAGAAGAAAATGAAGAAGTCCCTGTGGTGATGAGGGTTGATCAGTTTGCCTTGAAGCCAAAAAAGGAAAAGAGGGCAAGCAAATCAAAAGCAGCTGGGAGGGGTCGAGGACGTGGCCGTGGAGGTGGACGTGGTCGAGCCAAGAAGGATGAAGCTGATTCTGAACCTGAAGTGATTTATGATTCAGAGGACGAAGCTCAAAAGGCAGAGCCAATCAAGAAACTGAAGCCTGCTCGCAAGACACGTTCTGAGCCCAAGATTGAGCGCAAGAGAAAAGCTGAGCCCAAAGCAAAACCTTCAGCAAAATCAAGGGCAAGGAAGTCCAGTGTGGCTGCGACGAGTGCTCGGGATGCTGCTGGTGATGAACACAAAGAGGACCAGGGTGAAAGTGAAATTGTTTGGGGACCACTTCCTGTGGAGGGAGTTCAAGCTGTCACCAAGGCTTATGGATGGGACATGCTTGAGCCTTCTGTGCAGGAGGCTATGAAACCTGTGGATGCATCAGCTCCTTCTGAGAAGCATCCTGATGGTGGAGACTCTACTGGCGTCAAGATCAAGAGTTTTGCTCGCAGACCTTATCCTCGCAGCGGTGTTCCTCAGGCACGTTGGCTGGCAATCCGCGACACCTTTGATGAGTTCATCCGCCCTCTGCTGGTGAATGCGGGACATCCGGCATCAGGCTTTGAGGCCAGGATCACTCATAGACTTCCCAGCTAGGATTGGCCTTTGGTTCCAGCACCCTTGGTGAAGAAACATTGTCAAGCATTGGTTCACACACTTTGGAATTTCAGTCTACCTGTAGTGTAGTTTGTGTTCTTTTCCTTTCTGTCTCCAGTTTCTTCTAGTACAGGGCAATTAAAGTCTCATTCGACCAATTAAAGTGTAATTCATATTTATACTCTCCTGCAGGTCGAGTGGTGGGATGCCTGTATGGGAGTGGCTTTCAAGGTGGAGTCTGATGCAAAACTGGCTGGGGGTGAGGAGAAGTACAAGATCCTTGCCAGGGGCCACGTGAAGGCTTTCGTGCTGGAGACCATGTTGATTATGGATGATGAGATGGACTCAATGCCTGAGCCCTTTGAGCAGTAGTTGCAGGCATGAAATGTCAAGTCATAGACTGTGTGTATATATGCACTCAGTTTGATTTGGCATCTGTTTACTCCGAGTGTGTTCCTTTGCCGGGTTAGAGCGATGTTTTGTGCACAATATGCCAAAAAGGCATGTTGACATTGTGTCCTTCAATTCATCTCTTGATTGGTATGTGTGTACTTCACACATGAATTACATTGCCGTTTGTGGGCTAAGACAAGCTCATGCATGGCTACTTTCTGGGGATCAGCTTGCGAGGCAACAAGCAGCCGTGCTTGCAGTTTAGAGCCACCAAAATACTTGAACTAATGCTGACCCAGCCATTGTGTTCTTACAATGACTGTGAAGTGTGTTGTCTACAAGCCAG